TTTCTATTATTAACATTTATTAATAGAGTAATAATTTTTCTATTTTATTCTTTATAAATCATGTATATTATTTTTTATTTTTATTTTTATTATTTTTTTTTTTTTTTTAATTTTTTACAGTAAACACTTTATATTTAAATACATAAACACTACGATAATCGATCAAACGGAAAATATAAATGTTTCATATCAACGTAAACAGTATTGCAATTAAAATGAAACAGTAAGCGTTGTATCAGAGTGCACTTGCACGATTATGCAATGCACAATTACGTGCTTTGTGCTCTGTGTGTGTCTGTGTCTGTGTCTGTCTGGACTCGTGTGATTCATTACGATGATAACCGACACAAATTTCACTTGCAAATCAATCTATGTTAAAATGTTAATGTTTCGGAATTTTATTTCGAATTTTTCGAATTTTTTTTCATTATTATCATTACTATTAATATTATTATTATTATTATTATTTACAAAATTATTAACACAGGTAGAAAAATGAGAGAAATTATAAAATGCAAAATTTTATTATAAAAATAATTATTAAAAAAAAAGAAAATTATAAAATTAAACGATAAATAATTATAACAAAAAATAATAAACGTATATTAAAAACTAAACTGACAATGGTGGTACTTTAAAAAAAAAAAAAAATTAAAAGAAAAAAATAGTAAAAACTTTTTAAATAAATTTGAAAAGATCTTTAAAAAAAAAAAAAAAAGAAGTAAAAATTTTTGAAATAACAAATTAATTATAATTAAAAAAAAAAAAACAAAAAATAAATTTGTATTTCAATTTAGTCAAATGACAATAAAAAAAAAAAGAAAAAAATACTATTAAAATAGAAATTAAATTTGTATTATTTTACACTTATTAATTTTATTATATTTGTTCTAAATGTTGTTTTAATTTTTCTATTTTTTTCTTTTTTTTTTTGGACAGATTACAAAAAAAAAAAAGAAAATACTATTCAAATGGAAATTAAATTTCTATTATTTTACACTTATTAATTTTATTATATTATTATTATTATATTTTTTTTCTACATTTTTTTTTTAATTCTTCTATTACAAATTTCTATGAGAAATATCTTTGTTTATTATTCTATTTTTTTTTTATTGATCAGATTAAAAAAAAAAGAAAATACTATTCAAATGGAAATTAAATTTGTATTATTTTACACTTATTAATTTTATTATATTATTATTATTATATATTTTTTCTCTACATTTTTTTTTAATTCTTCTATTACAAATTTCTATGAGAAATATCTTTGTTTATTATCAGATAATTTTTTTTTTATTGATCAGATTAAAAAAAAAGAAAAAACTATTCAAATGGAAATTAAATTTGTATTATTTTACACTTATTAATTTTATTATATTATTATTATTATATATTTTTTCTAAATTATTTTCTTTTTTAATTTTCCCATTAAAAATTTCATTCACAAATATTTCTTTATTTTTTCCTACTATTTTTTTTTTTTTTTGGCTTTTTTTTTTTTAACTTTCCTCTTTCTTACGAAAAATTACGTGTATTAGAAAGTGGGACAGATGATTACACGCTATTGTATATTTGTTTTTGTTCAAGTTTCACAATTAGCTATTCACTTTAGTAATTCGTACAGTACACAGACATATATATATATATATATATTCCACACATATGTTGTTTGTGTGGAAACGTTTGATTTAAATGAATAAGGTAAACGACTCGAAAAACATGCATAGACATGTAATAAAATGTCTAGAAAATTACTAAAGACTCTATGTCATAGAACATAAGCATTTACATAAACTAGTTAGTATAACAAAATAGAAGTTATTTACAACGTATCAAATAACACATTAAGTAACACCTAAAAATAATAAAAAAATACATGAACAAATTATACATTTTTTATACATATACAATTACACACATTTTCATAATTTATGCATATATATTTATATTATATACATTTCAAATATCTTGCTAACTTTTCAAAACTTTTTATTAACTCTTTTTAAACCGGTTGCATATGCCAATTATGATCGCCACAATTACTCCATAACCTTTATATATATATATTAATACTATATAGTAATATAGGAATACTAATACTAGTACTTGTATTAGTATTATATACTATATATATTAGTGTAATATATATACTAATACTATATTATAATATTAATATATATATACTATATAATACTATATTATATCATTAATATATATATATTAATATTATAATATAGTATTAATATATAATATAGTAATAGTAATATAATATATATATATATATATATATATACATTATATACATTAATATAAATATATTAATACTATATTAA